GATCCACATTTGAAAATGCAAATTTATTGTTCACTTGTGGAAGTCATGTTTTCTTGTTAATTTGTGAAGTTTGAGGAATTTGACAATGTGATTCCGTCTTTCGATTGTGGAAGTCATGTTTTCTTGTTAATTTGTGCAGCTTGAGGAATTAGACAATGTGATTCCGTCTTTCGATATAAAACTAGTTTATACATTGCAGATGGATTATCACTTATACTGGATGCTTATCGGTTTGAAGGAACGGTAATGCAAACAAGGTCCCTTGCCATTTTGGACTATGTTTTGGAGAATTTTGATGAACATTTATTGAAATTCAAGCATAGTTGATGTGTTCACCTTTATGACTTGAAACCCTTTAAAAATTCGCAAGTGCACGAGATCATGATCAAAAAATATAATGATGAATAGAATGTCGAACCCATGAAGACTATGTGTTTGAACGTGTTAAAATTAATTGCAAATTTAATCAAATAGCAAACAAATTGTGATTTTTCTATACTAAATTATCAATTAAACTAGTGAAAGTAAATAAATATATTTTTTAAGGTTCCGTTTGATCCCCATTTTTTCCTCATTATAATGAGAAATATGACCGTTGGAGTTGATTTTTTGAATTGCAACGGTCATATTTCTCATTATGATGAAGAAAAAATAGGGATCAAACACACGCTAAATATATGATATGCATTGTTAAGATGTCGAATCAACATTTTTATTTTATCTTAGTGTAACAATTAAATGGACAATTTGAAATTATTCATGATGATCAATATTTCTAATTTAATTGAAAGTTTCTCTCGATAGCGATCAAATCTATTTTCCTCATACGACTATTTTATCTCTCAATAAAAGATGCAAATATGATAAATGTATTANTCAATAAAAGATGCAAATATGATAAATGTATTAACAAGTACTAGAACACTTATTGAAATCATATAAAGCATATATGTATATCTTTATCATTTATCGAACCTTATAATGTTTATTATATTGTATTTAAATCTTATTATTTCTCTCGATAAAAATAAAATCAACTAAAAATTCAATTGATGATCAAACAATTGAAAATAACAATAAAAATGAAATAAATATCCACAAATCAAATCAAATTAAAATCAAAATAATTAATTAAAAGCTAAAAATATCATAATTCATTCTAGCAATGTATAAAACTAGCCTAATATATTGGAATTACAAGAAATCATGTTAAATGTATAGAACATCATCCCGAAGTTTTAAATTAATGAATTAAGGAAGATGAATCTTGATGTTCTTGAATTTCTTTAAAATAATCTTGATAAATTTTCAATAATTTGTTCGCTTCTTTGTCTACAAATCCTATCTTTAATCTCCAATTAATGAGTTCTTGAACTTCGCCTTTGAAATCTTATCACAATATATGATTTTGACCCCCTTTTGTGATGAAAATTGATGGAATATTCTAGTATGAGATGTATAAGAGAAGTGTTTCTAATGGATTCTACTGTTAGGTATCTGTAGGAGTCGAAAATTAATTGAAAATCACGTCAAAATTGGTTTCCAAA